CTTTATGGCTCAGGTAAAACTACCCCCTTTACTCCCAGTTTTTTTTTGGCTCCTCACATGTCATATGCAGTGCAACAAGGGTAATGGTAGTGGTAGAAATGGTGTGGAAAAAATAGTCACAGCTTTGAAGTCTGCGTTGTGTAAAATGGCGACTGCAGTAGTCCAAAAGATACTGCACAAAGTGCCCCCTATATTACACTAGCGCCCAGGTTTTAAACTGTGATCAACACTGCGATTACTTGATAGACATCTAAAATATCGTTAGCATTGTAGTAGTAGTAGTATCGTTTGCTTGCTAAGTTTCGAGCAGAATCGGAAGGAATTTTTGCAGAACCAAACTCAGAGCAACCGCTTTGCTGAGTACGGTTTAAAAATTTCTTGAAGGTCGTGTCCCATGTCGGTCGAGTCCTAGCTAGTTAATGTGCGAGTGTTAAAGCTTTGTTTCTTATCTTTGCGTCATCACTTACAAAGGGATTATTTTTAGATGTCGATGACATTAAGTATGTTATTAACTATGACTACCCTAATAATTCTGAAGACTACGTTCACCGCATTGGTCGTACCGGTCGCCGGGACAAGACGGTACGTTTGCTATTTAAAGGCTGTGGATACGATGGCTGAGAGCAGATGATGGTTGCCAGCGTCATTGGTGGAAGGGCTGAGTATGGTTTGACGAAGCGCCATCTCGCAGCCTTTTCACCAAAGACGTTGGCAACATGGCCCGCCCCCAGCAATCGTGCCTTCATGTTCGTGTTTATTGGCTCTGCTGAGAAGCATGCTAATCGAAATATGTTTTAGGGTACAGCATACACATTCTTCACGCCGCAAAATGCGCCCAAGGCAAGAGATCTTATAAAGGTTCTGGAAGAAGCCGGCCAACAAGTTCCTCAGCCACTTCGTGATTTACAAGGACGAGGTGGTAGTGGCAATAGCCGAGGTCGTTGGGCTGGAAGTGGCGGCGGTGGAATGAAACGTGGATACAGTGGAGGAGACGATTATGGTGGAAAGAAGGGAAGGTGAGCTGTTGCTTTTTACTAGTCTTTAGTAGTTGTGCTTGTGCAAGCCGGGAAAATCTGCTGGGAGAGCAGGGGATCTCTTAGGCTTTCTAAGCGCAGTTGGGAGTAGCACAATTCGAAACCCTCTTTCTTTCATGCACAAAAAAAGCTTTTTTGATTCAAGTTAAAACCTTATTTCTGCTTTGCACAAGGATCGCTTGGATGGGCTTTCCTTAGGCAGGGTTCGTACTTCGCGACGGCAGCATTCGCGCGTTCATGCTTTCGATCGCGTCGAACGCGTGATCGAGGCGCTACCGTCGCGAAGTTTGAGCGCTAACTTGG